GGCAGCCAGGACTATTTTGGGAAGTGGATTTCACAGAGGTCAAGCCTGGAAAATACGGGTACCGATATTTACCGGTCATAGTAGATAACGTTTTCCAGATGGATAGAAGCCTTCCCTATGAAAGGAGAAACAGCTTTGACAGTAGCTAAGAAAATATTAGAAAAAATAGTCCCCAGGTATGGACTGCCGGAAGGGATAGGATCAGATAATGGATCTGCGTTTGTCTGTCAGGTTAGTCAGGCTGGCCCAGGCTATGGGGATAGATTGGAAATTACATTGTGCATATAACCCCCAGAGCTCTGGGCAGGTAGAGCGAATAAATAGAATAATAAAGGAGACCCTGACTAAATTGGCCCTAGAGACTGGCGGAGACTGGGTGACCCCCTCCTTCCCTTCGCCCTGTTCCGAGTCCGGAACACCCCTTATCAGTTGGGTTTAACCCCTTTTGAAATCATGTACGGCACACCCCCTCCTGTAGTTCCTAGGATGAGCCCTGAGGCTCTTCCGGGACATCCCAAAGAAGTGTTGCAAGCGGTGCAGGCTCTGCAACGTGTCCACAGTCAGGTATGGCCGGCCCTCCGTGCTATCTACCGGCCTGGGGAGGAGGGTGCCGGACACCGTTTCACCCACACCACCCGGGGGACTGGGTGTGGGTGAAACGGCATAACAACAGAACCCTCGAGCCGAGGTGGAAGGCCCCTATACAAATATTCTTGTTACCCCACTGCTCTTAAGGTCGATAGAATAGTAGACGACTGGCTACACCACTCCCACGTGAGACCTGCTAATAAAAAAGACCAGGAGCGGTGCCAGGACCAGCGGAAAGCAACTGCAGACCCAAAGAATCCTCTGAAGACCAGACTGACCCCGTGGCGGCGACATCCCAGGACTGCTGACCCAGATTTGGACTGGGGTTGTGGCATCTAAAGATTGAACTGGGTGACAAACATGGACGGGTCACGGTGGGGTTGGTTGTTGTGTTTTGGGGATGTTGTGTTTTTGGTCTAATGTTTTTGGGATAGAGACCTACAGCTGTATTAGCCCCGAACCCCCAACCCCTAACCTTACATGGGTCTAAGATTACTGTATAATGGTGTTGTGGTTCCCAAAAATTATTCCACACTGAGGGAGACAATGTATGGGGCATAGTAGGGCGAAGAGTCACCAACCTAATTTTTGAAAGAAAAGAGAGCCTTCACAGCCATAACCCTGGCTACTCTTTTTGGCTTAGGACATAGGAGCAGGAACTAGTATCTCTCTCTGGCAATGCGCAAAGGGTTTAATACTTGAGGGCAGCTGTTGTTGAAGATATTGCAAGGATGAGATTCAATTTCACACCTAGAAAGTCACTAACTCCCTATCCGAGTAGTGCTCCAGAACAGAAGGGTTAGATCTAGTATTCCTCCAGTAGGAGGACTGTGTGCTGCCTCAAAGAATGTTGTTTCTATACAACATACGGGAGTTGTTAGAGAATCTATAGTAAGGTCAGGGAGGGTTGCCGCGCAAATGGGAATATGAACAGCAAGCAGGTTGGTTTGATCTTGGTTTAACAGTTCCCCCTGGTTAACAACGCTACTATCCACCCTACTAGGCCCACTCATTATGCTAATCTTTAGTCCTTCATTTTGGCCATGTGTAATTAATAGACTAGTAGCTTTTGTGAAAGAATGGATAAACACTGTCCAGCTACTAGTATTGCAAGAACAATATCAGCAGCTATGGTCAAGTGCTATAGAACTAGAGCACCTAAGAGACCTTGAAGACAAGCAAGAGTGCTCGTCTGCTACCTAGAGAAAGGGGGGAATATAGGGCAGAGGAAGGGCAGAGGAATTTGTAGGGCAGAGGAAGGGCAGAAGAATTCTTCCAATTGTCGGGAATTTACTTGGGTGGGGCAATGAGCTAACCGCAAACCTTTGCTTCTGGTCATTGCTTGCTTGCTACGCCGCTGTATGGGGAATTATGGGATGAGGTCATTGAAGCACAGGCGACTGGCCCATCAGGCAATAGAGGGCAACCAACCCGCCAATAATTTAAAAAGGCAATAGTGGGCAACCAATCATTTTAAAGGTCAACGCATGATCCATGCGTACTCGGCTTGTGCGCAGCTTGTGCACTATGGGGATAAAAGGCATGCTGTTGTTCCGGTCGGGGTCCTTGCCTGCGAGAGTGGCCACTGCATTGGTGCTCTGGGGCTTGGACCCTGGCTAACCAGAAAATAAACCTCGTCTTGCGTGATTGCAAAAAAAAAACAAAACAAAACAAAAAAAACTTCATTATCCAGCATTCAGTAAAGGCTCAAGATGTACACACATCTACACAGCTTGAGAATCTGGAAAGTAATTTCCAGGTTTTAGTAAGCCTTAAATAAATCTGGAAATAAATTTATTACCACTTGCATGTAATAAATTATAGACATAGAAAAAAGTATAAATTTATAATTAAAGATTCAGCAACAAACTGTATTTTGTCCTAAACCTATTCCTTAATCAAGGTAAACAGCTTAAAATACTTTAGGAGAACTCTGAAGATATATATATGTGTGTGTGTGTGTGTACATATATAACAAAGTATAACAAAGGAAAACACACTAGATTATCATTTCTCTAATATCTATAGTCTAATTAAAGTATAAAAAAAATGCTGAGACTCTTTCCCAGCCTCCCTATATTCATAAGGTGACATTTTGGTGTGTAATTCCCTAATTACGTGATCTTTTGGGATTTTCCACATTTTCTATACCTGAAAATCCTTTGCTGAAAATGAACTTCCATTTCACATTTTTACACTAGGAATTTATTATAAAGAGTAAGATGTTGTTCATCCTGACAATAACATCCAGACTAACCAACTCTGAAAATCAATACTACTGGGGCCAAAGGCACCTACCTCACTGACATAAACACACTTTCATGTTTTCATGTCTTTTATAATATATGCTATGGTACTGAAGGCACTGAAGGTCTCCCTTCCCAGCAGCTATCAAATAGTGATCTAGATACTGCTTCGTCAACCCAGTCCTGCTTCATGAACCCACCCCGTATTTGACCCTTTCAACAGGTACACAAAGTGAAGTTGCTAATCTACCACTCTACCAAATAAACAGTTGTTTGATCACTTGAATAACTACCACAGTGAATATAAGCTGTATATCTTTGGTTAAACTATTTTCTTACCAGCATCACATTTACATTCTCTAATCTGTGATCTCTCAATTTATAAAATGTACTTATGTTTTCATTATTCTCTTATTCTTTAAGTATTCCCAGAAAAAGTTTCTAACAAGAGAATGGAGACAAATTTCAGGGTTTAATAAGCTTTATTTTGATAACATCAAAAACAACTTTAGCGTTCACACTGCATTATAAAAAATACATTAGTCTTCACATTAGTTTTACATGGAAATATATAATTATTTGAATATTTAAATATAGCTTTTCTTTAACCAAAAAAAAAGTGTTACTCAAAGCCCTACTTACATAAATAATTTAAATGCACAAATGCGAAAACACACTTTACACAATATTGTCCACATACTGGATAACTCAGGACAATTACAATAAAAATCTATGCAAGATACTGAACAAGAACAAGATTAATCAAATATTCATTATGATTGTAATTTGATTTCTTACTCTTAAAAGAATTTAATGCATTCTTGAACACACAAAAGCATCAACTGTTTTATCTAATTTGCAAATGAAGCCAACATTTATTTAGACAAAAGGGGCACATCTTGTATCCTACTGAATTCTGAAAGTAACTCATTTCCAATTTAACTTAAATTATAAGTTTTACAATTTCAAATTTTCAAACTTGTCTAAAATAATGATTATAAGAACTTAGTAAATATTTCCAAAATGTTAAAAAAAATCATCAGTATTATGTTATAGTTTTGTATGTTTGATAATATAAATTTTAAACGAGCCTTTCCCTGCCCCCTCTCAAAATGGCAGACTTAAAAAGGGTAGACTTAAAAAAAAAAAAAAAAATGGTAAAGATGGGCCAAGCGTGGCTCACGCCAATAATCCTAGCACTCTGGGAGGCTGAGGCAGGCGGATCACTCAAGGTCAGGGGTTCAAAACCAGACTGAGCAAGAGTGAGACCCCATCTCTAATAAAAATATAAAGAAATTAACTGGCCAACTAAAAATATATGGAAAAAATTAGCCGGGCATGGTGGTACACGCCTGTAGTCCCAGCTACTCGGGAGGCTGAGGCAGGCTGTGAGCGAGGCTGACGCCATGGCACTCTGGCCCGGGCAACAGAGTGAGACTCTGTCTCAAAAAAATAAATAAATAAATAAATGAAGGTAAAGATGATAAATTATATATGTATATTTTATATTAATAAAAAAATTTTTTAACTTCCAATGTGAAAAAGGTAGTAACTTCAAATTTTGATCACGTAGAGTATAAGAACTGTCCTCTCTGCATGATGACACACACTTACATAGTACATTATTTCCATATGATCTCTTTTAAACTTATGCAGGTAAAATGCAGAACATCTATGAATAGTACTCAGGGGAACTATGTGTCTATTCCATGGGAAAAAAGACACCAATACTCACAAATATAGTATTTTTATATACTAGTCATTTACTTCCTCATCAGTAGGACAAAGCTTTCTTCACAAATTAAAACTGGAGAATTATTTTGAACTAGTAGCCCACAGCGATATTTTAAGAAAGAAAACTAAAATATATTTGTATATGAGGAGGCAAAGATCGGGGAGCAGTGGCTCATGCCTGTAATCCTAACACTCTGGGAGGCCGAGGTGGGTGGATAGCTCAAGATCAGGAGTTTGAAACCAGCCTGAGCAATTGTGATACCCCGTCTCTACTAAAAATAGAACAAAATTAATTGGCCAACTAAAAATATATAGAAAAAATTAGCCGGGCATGGTGGCTCATGCCTGTAGTCCCAGCTACTCGGGAGGCTGAGGCAGAAGAATCGCTTGAGCCCAGGAGTTTGAGGTTGCTGTGAGCTAGGCTGACCCCATGGCACTCTAGCCCAGGCAACAGAGAGACTCTGTCTCAAAAAAAACAAAAAAAAAAGAAAAGAAAAGAAAATGAGGAGGCAAGGTTGCAGTAATGCTATACATGCTGCTTTGCAACTAAAAATATAAATCTTTTCAACATAATTACTGTTTAAATTTAGAAGGAAAGAAATTACAACAGAATTCCATCAAAACATACTCACAGGTTAAATGATGGCCCCTGAAATAAAACCACATTTAGAAGCCAGCTTTTACACTATTATTTCATTAATTCTAAGATAACACATTTTTATTTCTGAAATCAAGATACAGTTTACCACTGATCCAAGTTTCAACAAAATAAGGTAGTTACACGATACAGCTGAAATTCATGTTTCTTCTTAACATGGACAGAAAAAGATCCAGGATCTTGGCTTAACACGAATGAATGCTAACTGATTATATCTGTTCAACCAGTGGCCCTGAATAACGGTTCTGAATATAATCTTAGTACCCCAAATTTAAACTGCATATCAGCACATCTTTTATTTGAACTATCAAAAAATCAGTTAGCAAGTTTAAGACAAACTAATGCACAAATACAGATTTTCACTTGCAAAATGGGCTTCCACATAGGTTACTCAATTTTTTGAAATATTAAGATACACAATTTACTAATGACAATTAATGACCTGCTCAAATAATATTACCAAACCAATAACTTTAGTTCAAGCTATTAAAAAAAAAAGATAAGATAAAGTCTAAAATATTCTTAAGAAATAAGGCCACAAAGTAACCTGGATTTTCACATTAAAACACCAACACTTCACGTAGAGGATGGATTAAGGTGGCTTAAAAAAAAAAAGCCTGATCACACTGGCAAAACATTTTCTCGTAAGGATCTGATAATGCTAAAGAAAAATCACAGACACTGTATGTATGCATGTGTCCAAATGAGACAAGTTAGAGATTTGCAGATCCAATTTAAATGAAGCAGGAGTTTGTTATATACATGAAACCACCAGGCAGTTTTTAAAAACTGGATTCAAGATTATGGAATCTCATTCTCTGGAATGCTTTTAAAAGACAGATAAATTATGGTTTGTTTGTCATAATTTAAGTCAACCCATTCAGAAGTTGAGATAATTCATTATATTTCTTTCTTTTTAATTATCCAGTTAGAATATTATATCAACAATGCCACTATGCAACACAAAGAATGTAGATACGTGTGCATTGTTCCAATTTTTCAAAAGCAATAGAAGATAGCATTAGTAAGTTTGCTATATTCATTCTCAAAATATTATAACTTGCTGGCATGAAAGAATCACAAAAAATAAATAAGAGGGACATGATGTAAGGGACAAAATTCTATATACTGTGCTAAATTATGACATAAATTAAGGTAAAGCTCTTCTACAAAAATGATGGAAAAAAGTTGCTTTTGAATTGTAAAAAAAAAAGAACTCTAAACACTAATTTCAAATGAATATAAAAGGTTTGAAAAATAATATTTATAGCAAAATAGTTCAAGATTAATTTTCTCACCAAAGTTGGGAAAGCTGTGTGCTCTAAGTATCAAGTATATTTCAATAGAAGTACTGAATCCTCAACTATCCTTAATACAAAAGCTTCTTCTATTTTCTCTCACTGCCTCTCAATTTATTTGATAGCCGAGTATTCATTCTCTTAGCATGTGATGAAGGACGTGATAGACTTCTCAAAGAATATGGTTTAACATGTTCAGAAGAACTTTCCTTTTTGCTATTGTACTTCTTATTACCATACTTCCTTTTTCTTGCAGTGTTACCATTCTTCTTCTTTTTCGCAACATGGCAAAAACCCCGTACAGGGTGCTTCAGAGAAAGACTTGATATAGTGCTTGACGGCTCTTCAGCACCAGCTGGTGGAACTGAGGAGTTCAAAAAAATTTTAGCTGGTCTCTTCACGTTCTTTAGCGTACTCACAACAGATTTTTTCTTCTTAAGATCCATTCCAATAGAAGTGCTCCTGGATTGATATCTACGACGTAAAAAAACAGAGTACTTCGAAATATACTTTCTAATTATATCACTTGGTTTGGTCTGCATCCAATTTGACTGTTTTTCTGAAGCTATTTCGGTTTTTTGCTGGAGAATAATTGGTTTTAAAACCTTTTTGGGAAAATCTGGCTTATTAGCAGTTGTCACCTTCCTTCTCTGAAGTTTTTTACTTTTACTTCCTGATGACTCTTTTCTAATCGATTTTGGAGACGTATTGGCAATATCACGCTTTAAAATAAGCAGCTGGAAATTATCTCCCTTTGGAACCTCACTAGCATTTGGAGCCTCTGAGTCTTTCAGAGAAGAGTCATCACTCCTGTTTTGTGAACTTAATCGGGATCTTGCAGGCATTGTCATTGAGGGTGCTGAAGAGGAGCTCTGCCCATTAGCATCATTATCTCCTGCACTGGAGTTTCCGTTGTTCTTGTTTACATTAATTTTAACCCAGTTTTGATTGTCAAACTCTGGTACTACTATGTTCAGTGGAGGATTAGCCACAGTGTCCTTAAACCATGAGTCATAATTGTTCCGTTTATATTTGCATATAAACTGTATATCATTATCCCAACTCTTTTTGGAGAAGTGAAGGCATTCACCTTCCTGCAATTTAATATTTAGAGAAGAAAGAACATAGAATAAGGCTTTGGATTGCATAGGCCTCAAAACTGTAGTACTTGATTCAGGAAAGTTAACTGTCCCACATTTGACTTTCTTTTTTGCTTTTCTGTTAACCTGTGAATGTAAGCGCTTACTTTTTGGTGAGCCCTCCTCTTGTCTACTTTGTTTTCTTTTCCTTATTGGGAAATTCACAAAATTGGTTTGGGTTCCATGGCTAACTTTCACAGGCTGGCATGGAGAAGGCACATGCCTCTCTTGTTCAGGAGGCCTCTCTTGTTCAGGAGGCCTCTCTTGTTCAGGTGGCCTCTCGTGTTCAGGTGGTCTCTCTTGTTCAGGTGGCCTCTCGTGTTCAGGTGGCCTCTCGTGTTCAGGAGGCCTCTCTGCTGGAGGAGGAGGATGGCATGGTTTATCTGAGGCCACTGAAGAGTCAACAATTTTTGAAACACTACTTGCAGTATCATTACAATCTGATGGAGCTTGAGTTGATGCATTGTCCTGAAGGTCAGCCCAGGTAACCCTCTTTTTTTTCTTAGTCGAAGAAACCTTTTTGGTCTTAGAGTCATCATCAAAGTAACAGTGGAAACGACCTTCCCTAAATTCCTTCACAAGAGTGTTAATTTTTATGTCATCTTCTCTCATTATTTGAGACCATGTTTTCCCCACAAATGAAGGAGGGACATGAGGCAAGGCTTCAAGAACTGGTTCATCAGCATTATCTTCTACGACTTCCTTTGCTTTTTCCAGGCTCTTTACAGAATCAACCATGGGAACAGAGCTTGATTGGGGATCATGGTTCTTTTCTTCCAGGTTAGAAGAAACCTTCTTAAATAGGTCTGTTTTATTAACAGCTTCTTGAGGCTGATCAGTATCAGACTGAAGAGAGCGATCACACTGAAGGTTGATCTCAGACCTACCAGGTTCACAGCTCATGCTTTCTAGCTGCCTACGTTTTGACTGCAAACGGGTTTCTTTAGCAGGCATTTGATGTACTACTGACTCAGAAGAGGCATCAAAGTCCTTGGCAGAAACACTAGATTTACAGCTCTTACCTTTCGGGCCAGTATTTCTTAGATCTTTCCCATCTTTCCGAAGGCTTACTTTCTTGCGAGCTTTCTGCCGGCGGCGAGTTACTGGCCGAGAAGTGGCTTTAGGACGATTAGATTTACGGCGCTTATTTCCTGGGTCAACATAGTTCACCATTTTTTGATCAGGCTCTTCTGACTGGTAAGTCATCAACTGATCAGAGGCATCAACATTAATAGTTACTTCAGAACCACAAGACTGATTATTTGAATTCCCCAGAATAATATAGTCTCTCTTCCGGTTTATTATTTTAAAAGTCTCTTCAGATTCGCTTGCCACTGATGGAGGAAGGTCTTGACAAACACATCTTACTTCAGGACCAAAAGAGTCACAGCTCTCCTCTTCTTCATGGATACATTCTGCATGTATACAGTCAATTTCGCTGACAGCCATTTGAGGTGGGTCAGTCACTAACTCAAAAGGGATGTCAGGATGAGAAATTACGTCACAATCACCATCACCAGGCACAACGTCCACAAGTACTACTTTCGGAAGATCTGTTTCTTTGACGGACGGTGGATACTGGTTAACTACTATTTCAAAAGGTCCAACAGAATCACACATTTCAGAATCACTAGGTTCACCGGTCTTTTCTTCCATGCCAAGATGCTTTTCCTGCTGAAAGTTTATTTCTTTGCAAGCCACTTGAGGTTGGCAAACTTCTGACTGAAAATGAATACCAGAACCACATTGTATTTCAGAAGCAAAGAATTCGCAGTTCTTATTTTCTAGGTCATTATGATACTTCTTTTGTAAGTTTATTTCTTTGCCAGACACAGGAGATTGATCAGGCACAAAATGAACAGGAATAACAGAATCACAATTCACTTCAAAGCCACCTAGTCTATAGCTGTTATCTTCCAAGTAAATATGGTCTTCCTTCCAAAGATTTATTTCTCTGACAGCTTTTTGAACTTGGGTAGTTCCTGACTGAAAAGGATTACTGGAATCAAAGCTTACTTCAGGAGCACAAGGATCAATGTTCTTATCTTCCAAATTAGGATGCATCTCTTCTAAAATCTGTGGTCGCTTAATCACTGACTGAAAAGGAATATTTGAAACATAAATTATTTCAGAATCATGTGGTTCATAGCTCTTATTGTCCAGATAAACACGTCGTTCATCCCTCAGAAGACTTTCTTTAGTAGCCCTTTGAATTTCATTAGTCACAGACTGAAGAGGTTTATCAGAATCGAAATTTGCTTTAGAATTACCAGGCTTAACAATCTCACTTTCCAAGCCAACATGCTCTCTCCAAAGGTTAAGCTTCTTTACTCCTTCAGTTTGACCAGCCATTGACTGAAGGACATCAGAACCATAAACAATTCCAAAACTCCTAGCTTCATGCCTCTTATCTTCCATGTCCACTTCTTCATCCTTCCAAAGGCTTATTTCTCTAACAGTCTCTCTAAGCTGGTCAGCCACTGACTGAAGAGGGTCATCAGAATCAAAACTTATTTCAGAACCACAGGACTGACTGTGCTTACCTCCTAGCTCAATGTGCTCCTGCTCCAAAAGAGTTACTTGAGGTCCATCAACTATTGGCTGAACCAAGAAATCAGAATCCAAATGCATTTGAGAACAACTCTCCTGGAAGTTCTTAATATCGAAATATATATGCTCTTCATTTCCAAGGTTTATTGGTTTAACAGCTACTTCAAGTTGATCAACCACAGGCTGAACAGAACCATCAGAATTATTTACAGCTACTTCAGGTCGATTAGCTGCAGACTGAGCAGAACCATCAGAATTATTTACAGCAACTTCAGGTCGATTAGCCGCAGGCTGAGCAGAACCGTCAGAATTATTTACAGCTACTTCAGGTCGATTAGCCGCAGGTCGATTAGCCGCAGGTCCATCAGCCGCAGGTCCATCAGCCGCAGGCCGACCAGCATCATCAGAATTATTTTTTAATTTAGCAGCCCTATATTCCTCAATCTTAAGTTTCAGGACAGCAACCTCATTCTTCCATAGGTTTATTTTTTTAATCGCATCCTGAAGTTGTGAAGAATCAAAAGTTATTCGAGAACCGCTTGATTCACTGTTTTTGTCTTCCTGATCAACATGACTTTCCTGCAAAGGGGCTAGTTGAGGTTGGTCAGTGACTGAATGAAGAGGAACATTAACATCCAAATTTACTTCAAAACTTCTCTGTTCAGTACTTTCATCTTCTGGGTCATTATGGTCCTCCTTCAAAACAGCTTCTTGAGGCTTCTCAGACTGAGAAGCAACATCAGAATCCTGAATTATTTCAGAACCACTACATTTGTCATCCTCATTTTCTGGAACATGCTGCTTCTTTCTGGTGATGTTTTTAGTAGCTGCTTGAGGTTCAGCTAATGAACAATGAGAAACACCAGGATCTGAATTTGTTTCAGAACCACTAAATTCAGCACTTTTACCTTGGAATTCAGAATGCCTTCCTTTTTTATGCCTTCTTTCCTTAACAACTCCAGGTCTGTGAGTCGCTGACTGAAGAGGGACATCAGAGTCCACATGTGTTTCAAAAACGCCCTTGTTTTCTGAGTCTATGTGCTCTTCTTTCTGAAGGTTTATTTCTTCAATGGGATCTTCAGAATGTCCAGTCATTGAATGAAAAATGATATCATAATTAAAACTTAATTCAGAATCAGTAGGTTCATTTTCCTTATTTTCTAAGTATACCTGGTCTTCTTGTTGAGGGTTGAATTCTTTAACAGCAACTTCAGGAGAATTAGTCACTGAATGAAGAGGGGTGTAAGAATCCGAACTTACTTCAGAATCACTGGGTTCATCGTTCTCCCGTTCTAAGTGTTCATACTCTTCATTCTGAATGATTACTTCGTTAACAGCTACTTCAGGAGAATTAGTCACTGAATGAGGAGAGGTGTAAGAAACTGAACTTATTTCAGAACCACAGGGTTCATCATTCTCCCTTTCTGAGTCTTCATACTCTTCACTCTGAATGATCACTTCGTTAATAGCTACTTCAAGAGAATTAATCATTGAATGAGGAGGGCTGTAAGAATCCGAACTTATTTCAGAACCACAGGGTTCATCATTCTCCCTTTCCGAGTCTTCATATTCTTCATTCTGAATGATTACTTCGTTAACAGCTACTTCAGGAGAATTAGTCACTGAATGAGGAGGGGTGTAAGAAACCGAACTTATTTCAGAACCACAGGGTTCATCATTCTCCCTTTCTGAGTCTTCATACTCTTCACTCTGAATGATCACTTCGTTAATAGGTACTTCAAGTTGATCATTTTCTGAATAAAGAGGAACATCAAAATCAAAAGGTATTTCAGAAACATAAGATTCATTATTTTTACTTTCCACAGCAACAGGTTCTTCCTCATAAACAGCCATATAAGGTTGGTCAACTACTGATTCAAAAGTTAGGTTAGAACTAGTCGACCCACGGCTCTCATCTCTCAGGTAAATGCGTTCTTTATTTCTTCCAATACCCAGCCGAGCCCGCTCAGCAGCTGACAGAGGAGCAGGATCGGATTCTAAAGTCAAGTTGGAACTGGAACATGCACAGCTATTAACTTCTGTGTCGATATTTAGCTCTTTAATGTTTACTTCATCCAAAGCCTCTTGAAGCTGATCATTAGCTGACTGATAAGAAGAAGCAGGAGAATCAGAGCGTAGATTAGAAATGCTAGACTGAATGCTCTTACTGTCTAGGTCAGTATCTTCTTTCTGAGGGTTCACTTCTTCAACTGCTGCTTGAGGATGGTCAGCCATGAATTGAGCATCAGTGTGAAAATCCATTTCAGGACCATGATACTCATAATTCATATCCCCAAGGTAAGAACTCTCCTCTCTGAGACTTACTTCTTCAATAGCCCTTTGGGGTTCATCAGTCACTGTCTCAAGAGAGACATCACAATCAAGACGTGCCTTAGCACTACTGGGTTTACGTTTCTTATGTTTTGGTTTCAGATGCCTTTCTTTGACAATTGTTTGGGGATGATCAACTCCTGACTGAAAAGAATCATCACAATCAAAACCTGTTTCAGAACAACTTGATTCACAGTACTCATCAACCAAGCCAGTGTGAACCTTCCTCCGAAGTTTTATTTCTCTCACAGCCACTGGGGGTTGGTCAACCACTGATTGAGGTGGAAAAACAGAATCAGCACTTACTTCAGAGCTACTAGATCCACAGTTCTTATCAATCAAACCAATGTGCTCCTCCTTAGAACGGTTTACTTCTTTTACAGGCTGTTGAGGGTGGCCGTTAGTCGACTGAAGTGAGGCATCACAATCAAAATTCACTTCAGAACTACTAGATTCATAACTTTGGTCAACCAGGCTAATATGCGTTGTATTCTGAAGACTTATTTCCTTAACAATCACTGAGGATTGGTTGGTAACCAACTGAAGAGAGTCGTCACAATCAGAACTTATTTCAGAACCATTAAATTTATTATTATTATTATACTGTAAATCAGCATCCACTTCCTCGGAATGGTTTATTTCTTTGGCAGTCACTTTAGATTGGTCAGTCAGAGAATGAAAAGAAGAACCGCAATCAGAACTCGTTTCAGAATCTCTAGATTCACAGTTGTTATCTTCTTGGTCAGTCTCATTCCAAAGGCTCAAGTCTCGAGTAGCCTCTTGGGGTTGAGGAGATGCTGACTGAAGAGAGCTACAATCAAATTTCAATTCAGAACTCCCTAAGCACTTCTGTTTCAAAAAGGCTGACTTGTTAGCAACCAAATGCTTTTCTTCTTGAGTATAAACCACATTAGGAAAAAATCCCTCATGGTATTTTGGAATGGCATCCTCACATATTTCTTTATTAGAAGGCATGTCAGTGTTATTCACGTTTACTGCTGAGTTTACTTCTAACTCATGAGGAGAATCAACTCTTAAGGGCCCCTCAGTATCCACAGGTTCACGGAATTTAGAACCAGCTGACAAAATTTTGCCTTGAGATTTTACATCTTTCTGTAAAACCAATTTATCTGAATTTATACCTAAAGATTCACTGTTGGATTCTTTAGGTTTCTGATATGAAACTGAAGAAGTTTCTAGATTGAATGATACTGTAGGCTTTCTAGAGACCCTGTCTGGCTCAAGGTCAACTTTGTTTGGGTCACATTTGTTAACTGAATCCAAATGGGCTGCTGGTGGTAACCCAGTCATATTAGTTTTGACTGGGCTATCGTAAGAACTTTCAGGTAAACGACTAGGAGGAGCATTAAAAATCACTGGGGGACGTGTTAAGTTGTTTCCATTATTTGTAGCTTGACCAATATCTATTGAATTACATGTTTTCATACCAGTCCCAATTTTATAAAAAATCTCCAAGGGCTGCTGCTGTCCTTTCTCCAGTTTCTGAATAACTGATGGTCGAACTGGCACCTCCTCTGTACACTGCTGAGATATACTAGGTATGGAATGTAATGCTTCAGTAGGCTCAAAACTCTTAGCACGTGTATCTTCTTCGGTTTCTGCACCATCCCCATCCTGTTCTTCAGAAACAGAATTATCCAGAGGAATCACTTCAGAAGCTGACGCAGGATTCACACGTTGCACTGATCTAAATATGAAAGGGGGAAAATACAGAAAAATATTGTAATCTCAGTTTAAAATGTTAAAATAAAGGCATAATAAATGTTATTTTCTTTCTGTTCTGGGCTATCTTTAAAGGACCAAGAATTAAGGCAATCACACCAGGCTATACTACATGTACTTCAGGAGGTAATCAGTGCAGAAGGTAGGAGGAGCTTTACCAATTGCTACTTACACACAAATAGCTCATAAACATGAGAAAAATGCAAATAAAGCCATATATTATTTTTCAGTTATCCCAGTGGTAAGTAGCAAAAAGTTTGACACAGTTACTTAACCTTGTATGCCTCAGATTCTGCCTCCAAAAAAAGGAAATAATACACTATTTTCCCTCATGAGATTGTTTTGAAGAGTGAATAATTAATTAGTTGTTATATGTAAAGAGTATTAAAAAGAAAAAATAGCCTGGTGTATAGTAAGCATTCACAAATGTTAGCTAGCTATTTTGACATGTCATTTTGGCAAGGATGTAAGGACGTGAGCATTTTTTAATAGGTTGCTGGTAGGACTATAGATTAGTTAACATCTGTGAGGATTATTAGTTAACCTCTATATAGATTAGTAACTTCCATGAAGAAGAATTTGGCAATGTTTACTAAAATTAAAAATGTACGTACCCTCTGATCTAGTAACTTCACTTTTGGTTTTCTCTTGTGTCTAATGAGGAAAATACCAGGATATTCACAACTACTTTTTTCTTTTTTGATAAGAGCAAACAACTGAATCAAACTTAATGCCCATCAACTGGATACTGGTTAAATACTCAACAGTACTTAATGGTATACAATGTATGTTTTTAAAATAATAAGGCAACTCTATATAGACACAAAAGATTAATTACTATAAATATTGTTAGTGAAAATCAAATGTATATAGAATGCTATCATTTATGTAAGATAGAAGAGAAAAAAACTATACACTTCAAATAGCTATAGACAGACAGATAAGAAACACTTGTTACCTCTAGAGAAGTGATTACAGGATGGCAGCAATGTAAGAAAGACATATTTTTTAAAATGTCCTTTGAATTATGCCTACATGTCTGTACTTCCCATTCAAAATTTTGAATTACATTGCTTTTTAAAAGACCTAAAACTTTCATATCTAAAACCAGCCTATCAATCTCTTCTACCAGCATCAATACAACATGCTTGACCCAAAGCATTTTAGGGATTGCTCTTTCATATATGTAAGCAGCTGACCTAATGATATTGCCATATCCTGGATTCTTAATTAAAGAGAGGCAAAATTTCAGTCATACAGCCACCACCCACTTATGACTTATGACTATGACCCACTTAGGACTTATGACTATCTAGATTCAAGGTCCTACGCTAGGTACTGAGGCAAAGAAAGATAAGCTGTCTCTTAAGGACCATTCAAGTAGCCACAGAAGGCAGATACATAAAAAATAATTATAATTCAAAATGCTAAGTGTCATCATAATCTAGACCTATTAAAAAAAGATTAAACTGTCACAGCCAAGAGGAGCCTGAAGAGACTTGGTAAGTAAATGTAATAGTATCCTGGAGGGGATTGTGAAACAGAAAAAAAGAGGTAAAACTAAGGAAATCTTAGTTTAGAAAAACTTAGATTAGGTAAAAACTAAAAAAGATATGAATAATCTATAGACTTTAATGTGTTAATATTAGTTCATTATTTCCAATAAATGTACTATATTACAGTAAGATGTTAATAATAGGGAAACTGGATGAGAGAGTATTATAGGGATGCTGTACTATTTTCTCAATTTTTCTATAAATCTAAAACTTAAACTTTTAAAACTTAGTTTATAAAAATAAACAACAGATTAACACCTAAAAAAATTAAATATTTTCCAATTTGAGCGATGCCACATTTGTCTAAGACAACATGCAAACATATATTAGCCACATGAAACTTTTTTTTAACATAGGTATTACTGTTACTATTTTTCCCATATAAATTTATTACCTTAATTCATTTTTAATTTGGAAAATAAAATAGTTAACTCTGCACCACGTGCTCACTTTAGCAGCACCTATACTAAACCCTGCACCAAAATATCATGATGGCACCAAAAAATCCATAATTTTTCATACTTCTAAATTCTAATCAATGAAATTGCAGTGCAATAACCACTGTACCACAGTTTTTCAGAACACTGGACTATCTTTATTTGCCTTAAGGACTATCACAACATTCTCAAAATAAAACTAATTTTGTAACATGTAGCTAAAAATAAAAAAAAAAGAAAGAAAGAAAAGAAAAAAGGTAGAACCATACAATCAAACAAGTGGGTAAAAATCCCAAAAAAACTCAGCAACTGCCACTTGGATGCTTTGATTTGCATCTGTATTTGTGTATGTGTATCTTTAAGATTAACAATTAAATCATAATCCCTATTTCTAGTCATTTGTAACTAACTTTACAACTAAAAAAGGCCTCCAAAAATCTAACTATTAAAGGTTAAAAATCACTTTCATATAACTCTTGAGCTAAAAATAAAAATTTTTAAACTATAAATAAATAAAATAAAATAATTATTTAAAATATATCCAAGCCGGGAGCGGTGGCTCACGCCTGTAATCCTAGCACTCTGGGAGGCTGAGGCGGGCAGATTGCTCGAGGTCAGGAGTTTGAAACCAGCCTGAGCAAGAGCAAGACCCTGTCTCTACTATAAATAGAAAGAAATTAATTGGCCAACTAATATATATATAAAAAATTAGCCGGGCACGGTGGCGCATGCCTGTAGTCCCAGCTACTCGGGAGGCTGAGGCAGAAGGATTGCTTGAGCCCAGGAGTTTGAGGTTGCTGTGAGCTAGGCTGACGCCACGGCACTCACTCTAGCCTGGTCAACAAGCGAGACTCTGTCTCAAAAAATAAAATAAAATAAAATAAAATAAAATAAAATAAAATAAAATAAAATAAAATAAAATAAAATAAAATAAAATAAAAAAAATAAAATATATCCAAATCTATGAGACATAACCAAAATGAAAACTTCATACTTTTAAATACTACCATTAAAAAAAGAATTAGTAAACACAACTAGGTGAGCACCCAATTTAAGAGATGGAAAAATAACCAAATTGCTTCCATAAAAAAAGTAGAGAAAATAAGAAAAGGGAAAAAACCTAATGAATAGGAAACAAAAACAAGGCAAGAGTTGATTTTCAGGAAGGCTAAAAACAATAGAAAAACCTGCAATGTCTAGAGAGTAGAAGAAAAGAAAATGTTTTAAAAAACCATAAACTTATCATTTAGAAAGCATATAAATAAAATAATGTAGTGTTGGCATAGGATTTTTAAAAAATCAAGGGAACAAAATGGTATTCAAAATTAAATATATATACACAATACATAAATACAGGAATTTAAGTTATAATAGAGGTGGTGACATTTTTTATCAGTGGGGACAATTAGAGATAAATTTATAAAAAATTAAGTAGAAGTCCTGCCTCACACCACATATAAAAACAAATATTTATTTATTTATTTTGAGATAGGGTCTCACTGTTGCCTGACAGTGGCGTCATCAGAGCTCACTGCAATCTCAAACTCCTGGGCTCAAGGAACCCTTCTCCTGCCTCACCCTCCCAAGTAGCTGGGACTACAAGTGTGTGCCACCACTCTGGGTTTATTTTATTTTTTTTAGAGACAGGGCCTATTTGCTCAGGCTAGTCTGGAACTTCTGGCTAGCCTCAAGTGACATGCTCGCCTCAGCCCCCCAAAGTGGTAGGTAGGGTTGAAGGCAGAAGCCACTGAGCCCGGCCTGATTAAAAATATTTAAAAGAAGAAACAAAGGTATCAAAAAAAGACATGACAAAAAAAAAAAAAAAGACATGAAAGAAGACATTAAAAAATTCTCCTTAGAGTTGATTATGTCAAAATGTTTAATTTCTGTATGATAAAATACAACATATATAATTAAAAGACATATAACAGCTTCTAAAAAATATTTGTAACATGTTTAAAATACAAAAGACTATCATCCATACTCAAATAATTGCTTAAAAATGCAAAATATACAAATAACTCAATAGAAAAACAGGCAAAGTATATGAACAAACAATTTATAGGATAAAATACGAGGTCTGTCCAGAAAGTATCCAGCCATTGTTAATGTAAGATGTAATAGTACATGGCTGAATACTTTCTGGACAGACCTCATATGCCCAATCAATATACAAAAAGAAGTTCCACTTTACTCATAAATAAAGACAGGCTAATTAGGAGATATACTTTTTTGGTCTATTATACTGGTGGTGGGGGGGAGAGGTAGATAATCCCAGTGTTGGCAAGAATGACAAGAAATGAGCATTCTCTTATACTCTTGATGTGTATATAAATAGGTATAGCCTTCTAGGAAGTGTCCAGCAAGGATTTAAAATGTTCAGTGGAGGGGTAGGGCTAAAAAATAAAATACAATAAAAAAATCCATATACAATTTGAGCCACAAAGTAAATAATAAATAGTAGCAGATTAAAACACACAATAGGCTGGGTACAGTGGCTCATGCCTATAATCCCAGCACTTTAGAGGCCAAGGTGAGAAGACTGCTTGAGGCTAGGACTTCAAGACCAGCCTGGTCAAAATAGCCCTGTCTCTATAAAGAACAGAAAAATTAGCCAGGTATGGTGGGGCACATCTGTAGTCCCAGCTCCTGGGAAGGCTGAGGCAGGAGAATTGCTTGAGCCCAGGAATTTGAGGTTGCAGTGAGCTATGATGACACCACTATACTCTAGCGCAGGCAACAGAGCAAGATCTTTTCTCAAAAATAAAACAAAACCCACACAATAAAAGAAAGTCTATAATGTTATAAATAAATACTTTAATAAATAGTGAGGGAAAAAGATTTTGATTAATAAATGTAATACCTGTTTCAGGGAAGAATCATCAATGGATGCTTAAAATAAGTCAGTGAAAGTAAGATGAGAAACAGGATTATTTACATAGTCAAAGTTCTTCCCCACAAGATTCTTATTAATTACAACAGGAAAAACAGTAGTAGCTTTACAGTGGAGTAACTTTGCAGACACAACCTTAATCAAGTAACCCAAGTTAACATTGCCAAGCAATGACATGGCAACATCATGTGTCTCCTGGTTTAATACACTAAGAAGGGTACAACATCAGTTCTGAGATATTCGTACCCAAAATTCATAAATTAAGTTTAATCATAAAAAAATACCAGGCAGACAGAATTTTGAGAATATCTCATAAAATAACTGGCCAGTACTCTTTAAAAAGGAATCAAGGTCTTAAAAGCAAAGAAAAACTGAGGAATTACTCAAGATTAAGGGAAAACAAAGATATATGACAACTAAATGCAATGATCCTGGACTGGATCCTGGTCCAAAAAAAGGACAATAGTAGGACAACTTAAAAAATTTAAATAAGATCTATAGATTAGCTAATATCATGGTATCAGTGTAATTTCCTAGTTTTGATCATTGTATTTCAGTTATTTTAGATTTAGTATCTGGAGAAACCAGGTGAAGATGATACCAGAATTTCTTGTACCAGTTATGTAATATTTTTGTAAGCCTAAAATTATTCCAAAATGGAAAATTAAAAAATAAAGTAAATTTTTAAGGTCCATAAACCCTGTCCCATAAATTCAAATTCTGGAGGCTGTATCACACAAATAATTTCATGTACAAATATGTTTGCTGAAGCATTATTTAGAAGGGTTATAAACTGGAAATTTATACTGACCCAAGAATAGGCTAATTCTGTTCTAATCACATTTTTTCCCTCTGACTTCTCCCCATTAAAACATTTTCACCATTTCTAAATTCTAGGTTAGTGACCTGCAAAGCAGAGAAATTTATTCCCTTTTCTACTTACTGGTGTGCATCTCAGCTAAATCTGCACAGACGTGCTAATGATTTTTTTTTGCCTTATCTTATACAGCTGGAGCTACTAACTCATTGTAGTATTTAATTTTCTACCAATGTTTTTCTTTAACATAGGACATTAACTCTTAAATGTTTTCAAAATAATTATTTTTATTAAAACTCCTGAACAAATTGATACAAGAAAAAGCTATCACGATATTGACAAATTATAACAGCCACTTCTATTTGATATCTCCTCTATTGAGAATTAGTAAATAGTTCCATTAATGTGGAACTACTTAATTTTGACTCTGACTACCCTTATTCTGCTACTGTCACTAGCATTTCTGTTACTGATCTTTTAAAAACTATTTTTGTTCCCATCTTCTCCCTGTTTAATCTATGACATACTTATAAAACACACTAATGCTTTAAATTATTTATTGGCCTAAGATTTTTATTTAGGAAAAAACATAAGTGTAATCGTATCTTCTATAGTTGAATTTCTTACTTAAGCTAAGAAAAATTAAAAATTGCAAATGAAAGTTACTAGATAAAATTCCACTTTTTATTTTCTGATTCAAGATTCACTTTAAGTAGTATTGAGGCATTAACACAAACACACCCACTGTAATATATAACTATGTACAAATATTATTCCAGTTATTACTTTACCTGTTTTCTTGATAATAATTTGGGTGGTGTCGCAGCACATCTTGCAAGAAACGGTCCATCAGACTAGTGGTATTTAACTGATTTCTACTCACTCTGATCATACTTCTGTGCTGAGCACTGAACAAATGCTATAAAGGAAAAAAGAAACCAAGTATTTTTAAATGGGTAATTCTCATTAGTGGTGAGAATTTCACAAAATGGACTCATTTATGTATTCCTGGTAGGATTATACTGATAGCTTTTCTATAAAGCAATTCTGAAATATCTAAAAGCCATAAAATTATCTTTCCCTTAAATACAGTGATAACATTTCTCTACATATATCCTAAGGAAATCATCTTAAATGTGGATGATTAATGCAAAAAAAGATATTATCACAGCATAGTAACAAAAAACTGGAAACCCTCTGAGTGTCTTAACAGTAAAATCCTTTAATTATATTATGGTCTAAGATATACTATGCAGCATTTAAAATAATACAAAGACTTTTTTTCTGGAGGTATACTTGTTGCTGAATACAAAGAATTTTTAGGAACATAGAAAAATGTTTTATATAAAGAGAAAAAATGGAGGTTGCAAAAATCACATGGTTTTATCTCAAACTACAATTTAAAAATGTATTAGACAAGTAAATGGAAGACAATATAGCAGTCCCCCACTTATCCACAGGGGATATGTTCCAAGACCCCAGTGGACGTATAAATCCAACAATAGTACCAAACATTATATATATATATGTTATTCTATACATACATCCCTGTGATAAAGTTTAATTTACAAATTAGGCACAGTAAGAGAATTAACAACAACTGATAATAAAACAATTATAACAATACACTGTTTTAAAAAAAGTAAAATAACGGTTACCTGAACACAAGCACCATGACACCATGACACCTGAACACAAGCACCATTAGAGACAGTTGCTCTAATAACCAAGACAGCTACTAAGTGACTAATAGGTGGGGAACATACACAGAGTGGCTACAATGGACCAAAGGAGGATTCACATCATGGGTGGGACAGTGCGGGATGGTGTGGGACGGCACAAGATTTCATCACACTACTCAAAACAGTATGCAATTTAAAACTTATAAACCGTTTATTTCCAGAATTTTCCATTTAATATTTCCAGATTGTGATTGACTGTGGGTAATTGAAATCAACTGTGCATAAAGAGGAAACTACTGTATAACAAAACTGTAAAGGCATATATATCTGTGTGGTGATTATGGGTAATTTTTAAATTTTTCCTATAAATTATTATAATTTTCAATGAGCAATTTTTTAAAAATAAAAATCTGTTAAAAGAGAGAACAGGATTGGATTGCTATATTAAAAGAGGTCAAGATTAATTCACAAAAAGGCCTTCACTTACCTTCAGAGAATAAAAATCCTGCCTTAAACAGAATATTGAAACAAATATACTAAATTTTTCAGTTTTGCAAGTCTCTCCACATTAGAAAGATTTTGCCTTTACTAATAATATTTAGTGGACTAGCAAGCAGGATAGGAAAGAAGTCTAATACTTACTAAGCACCTATGATGTACCAAACGCAGTGCTATTCCATTTACATGGCAATCTCATCGAATTTTTAAAAAGAATATTGTCCTCTTTTCACATGAAGAGATTAAGGCCCAAAGAACTAGAGTAAACTGCCTTAAGTTGTATACCTAGCAAGCAGCAAAGCCAGGATTTGAATCTGAGTTTAACTGTAAAACTTATGCTCTTTCATTGTATCATGCTAGCATTAATGGCAAATTTCTAATACATATTATTTATAATTTAATAACACATTTTAATAAAACTTAGAAAATTAATGTATTAAATACTATGATAATGGTGTCAAAAGAACTTAAATCAGGTTGCTAGTTCCTGACCACTATTACAATTCTTGGTATTATCTCCTTCTATGTTGACTTCGGAGTCTACTCTTGCACTACCACAGCCCCTGTAATAACTTAAATTATGATAGTCTCAAAATCTTCCTGCTACAAAACTCCCCACCATCTTGTAACCATCACCAGAGTTAGACTGCCTAGTGGTTGAAGGGGACAAGTACACGAGGAAACAAAGCTTCTATTAAAATCCAACCTTGTCCTCTCTCTGCCAAGGCAAAAAAAAAAAAAAAAAAAAAGCAATATGAATGGAAAAACTGTATTTATATAAACTATAGTAACCACCATACTATATATCCCAAAAGGTATCAGTTCCTTTAGATTATTTTTGAATTGACGTATAACATAAATAAAACTATGCAAATCATATGCATACAGCTCAATAAATTATCACAAAGTAAATTTATCTATACCATCTATCAAGAAAAATAAGCACCAGAAATCCCTTCAATGTCCCATCCCAATCTAATATCCCTTCCCTCTTGCCCAAAAGTTAACTATTGCCTAATTTTTAATATTGTAGTTGTGAAAGTTTCCGAAGTTTATATAAACGGAGTCATACATACAACATTCTTTCACATTCAGCTTCTTTTACTCAAGATTATATTTGTGATATTCATCAACATTAGCTATAGTCTGTTTTCATTTCTGAATCATATTCCATTCTATGACTATACCATTATTTTATTTATCCATTCTACCCTTGATGGACATTTGTGTTTTTTCCAGCTTTTGGCTATTACAAATAATCTTGCAAAGAACCTTCTTACATGTGTCTTTTAGTGCTGATGTACATGCATTTTTGTTGAGCACATTATAAAGAGTAGAACTTCTGGGTCATAAAATTTGCACATCTTCAGCTTTAGTATTCACTGCTAATTAGTCTTCCAAAGTAGCTGTACCAATTTATATTCCTACCAACAGTGTATCATAGTTTCCATTACTCTACTTCCTCATCAACACTTGGTATTATCAGTCTCTTTAATTTTAGCTATTACAGAGGGTGTTTAATGTTATGTCATTGTGTCCTTAATCAGCAATTTTTGTGACAGTTTTCATATTTACTGGCCATCTGGATATCCTCTTTTATGACAGGTCTGTTTAAGTCTCTTCCTGTTTTTCAAATGGATGTTCAGTATCTTACTGACTTGCAATAATTCCTTATTCTGAATACTAGTTCTTTGTTCAGTTACATGTGTTTCAAGTATCATTTTCCTCTCTGTGGCTTGTCTTTTCACTTTCTTTTTCTTTTTTTTTGAGACAGAGTCTCATTTTGTTGCCCAGGCTAGAGTGAGTGCCGTGGCATCAGCCTAGCTCAAAGCAACCTCAAACTCCTGGGCTCAAGCAATCCTCCTGCCTCAACCTCCCGAGTAGCTGGGACTACAGCTTATGCGCCACCATGCCCGGCTAATTTTTTCTATATATATTAGTTGGCCAATTAATTTCTTTCTATTTATAGTAGAGACAGGGTCTCGCTCTTGCTCGTGTTTCGAACTCCTGACCTCGAGCAATCTGCCCACCTTGGCCTCCCAGAGTGCTAGGATTACAGGCGTGAGCCACCCCGCCCGGCCACTTTTCACTTTCTTACCGCCCGGCCACTTTTCACTTTCTTACTCATCTTCCATTATTTCTTAACTTTATTGCAACCCACTTTATCATTTTTTTTGTCAGTGCTTTTTGTGGCCAGAAATCTTACCCTATCCCCAAACTCATAAAGATTTCCTATTTGTTTCAGCTTTACTGTTTTACCTACAACATTTACATTTACAATCTACTTGGAAATGATTTTTATATACAGAGTGATTTAGCAATAGTTTTTTCCCCACATGAATATTCAATTGACCTAGTATCATTTATTGAAGAAAGTCTTGTCCTCAATGCTCTACAGTGCCACATTTATCACAAATCCCGATGTATGTCTCTCTTTCTGGAGTTTCTGGTTTGTTCCACAGTCTTTCTAACTTTGTACCAAAACTCAATTGTCTTCATGACTACAGTTCAATAAATTTTAATATTCGGTAAAAGATCCTCCCACATTGTTCTTCTCTAAGATTATCCTGGTTCTTAGCCTTTTACATTCCCATATTTATTTTTAGAATTGTCTTAATTTTCATTTAAAGAAAAAAACTTTTCTGAGATTCTGATTGGAATTACATTGGATAAATATAACAATTTAGGCAGAATCGACACATTTACAATATTGAGTCTTCCAAACCATGAACATGGAAATTTCTTTCAATGTTTATGGTTTCTTATGTAAAGACCTTATACATATTTTGTTATATTTATTCTTTTGATGCTATTATAAATGATATCTTTCTTAAATCTCGTTTTCTGCAAGGTGTTTGTGTATAAAAATACAATTTCTTTTTATGTTAGTTCAACCTTTTTAAACTCACTTATTAATTTGAATAGTTTATCTAGGTATCTTTGGGATTTTCTATGTTCACAATCATGTTGTGTATATTAATAACAGTTTCCTTTCTTCATATCTAATCATTACCATTTTTAACTTCTTTCTTTATTTCCTTGGCTAGGACCTCTAATAGAGTATTGAATACAGTTGTAATTCAAGCATCAAGTCTATTTTCACTTAATATATTGATGATACAATTCAATTTAAATCTTTCTTTTTAAATCTGTTATTATTCTTGCCTTTACAATATCCCCTTTCTCTTCTGTCTTCCCTTCTTGTGGACTATGTTTTATTATTTCAATTTTCCCCCTTCTGTTAACTTAGTGGTTAAACTCTTTTTCCAGTCTATTAGTTATAAAAGATTACAAGGAACCCTGACCTATCAAAGTATGAAATTACTTGTTACTTTTATTCTCTTCATGAACAATGTGAGGTCCTTAGAAATGAACTCCATTTACTCCCCTCCCAATGTACATGCCATTGTTGTCAATCCCACAAGACATTACTTATTTAGATTGTCTACATATTTACCTGTCCAACGCTCTTCATTACTTCCTGCATCTTTGAGCTTCCATCAGGAATCATTTTCTTTCTGCCTGAAGAACTCCTTTTTAGTTTTTCCTTTAGTGAGGGTCTGCTGGTGACAAATTCCCTTAATTTTTATTTCCTGAAAATATTTTACTTCACCTTCCTTTTAAAAAGATATACTTATTGAATAGAGAATTCTAGATTGGTAGCTATTTTCTTTCTTTTGGCTTCCACTGTTTCTGTTGAATATTCCACTAGATTTGGGCCCCAATTTCTTCATTGCCTTAATAGTTCTCCAAAGCCTTGAAATACAAGGCTGCAAAAATCCTCAACAAAATGTTAGCAAATCAAATCCAGCAACATACAGAAAGGATTATATACCATGACCAAGTGGGATTTATCCCAGGAATGGAAGATTAGTTTAACATCTGAAAACCAATCAATGTAACTGCTACAGATTGAATTGCATTCCCCCAGTTCATATGTTGCAGTGCTAACCCCTAAATGTATTTGGAGATAAGGCTTTTAGTAGGTCATTTAGGTTAAATGAAGTCATTATTGGGTAGGGTCCTAATCCAATAGGATTGGTGGTCTTATAAGAAGAGGAAGAGAGATAACCCTTTCTCTCCACCATGTGAGGACACAGTGAGAAGGTAGTCATCTATAAGACAGGAGAAGAGCCTTAACCATCAACTGAATCAGCTGGCACCTTATCTTAGATTTCCTAGCCTTCAGAACTATGAGAAATAAATTTCTATTATTTAAGCCACCTAATCTATGGTATTTTATTATGGCAGCCTGAGCTGACTAATGAAGTAATTTATTAATAGACTAAAGGAAAAAAATAATTAGCTGATGCAGAAAAGCAGGCCAATCAATTTAATTGCTCCAGATGCACCTGCATCCCCCCCAAATTCATACATTGAAGTTCTAACCCTTGATGTGATTGTATGTGGAGAGAGGGCTTTTGGGGGAAACAGAAGGCTGTTCCCTACCTCTCCCTCTAGCCCTCAGGCAAAAGTTGAAGCAGTATCTTGCCTCCTGGAAAAATAGTACCTTGGTTACTCACAGCAATCACACCTCTCCAGTGCCTAAGATGAAGCAACACCCTGCAACTCAGGAAAGGGTGCCTCAGATGCACAGTGCAGTCACACACTCCACTATCTAAGCTGAAGTTGTCCCTTGCATACCACAGAAATGGCCACCCAGAATAGTCATGCCCCCCATGCCTGTGCTGAAGTGGTACATCACCTCCTAGACAATCAGTGCCCTGGCCAAGCTAAGGAAGGAGCTGTGCATTCCAGGGCTGAGCTAATATAGTACCCCATGTCCCAGGGAAACAGAGAAGTGGCTGAGCTGAAACATCTTGCCCTACAGTCCTAACAACTCTAGTACCCTGCTCCATTATGCCCAGCCAAAAGCATATTTCTTTGCAGAAAATTTACAGGCCAGCATTGGATGGGATAACATACTCAAAGTGCTAAAAGAAAAAAAAAAATTTTTTTCAGCCAAGAACAGTATACCCAGCAAATCTATCCTTCAGAAATGAGAAAGAAACAAAATCTTCCCCAGACAAACAAAACTTGAGGGAAGTAATCACCACTAGACCAGCCTTACAAGAAATGCTCAAAGGAATCCTACATGTGGAAGAAAAAAAGACAATAATCACTATAATGAAAACACACAAAAGTATAAAACTCATAGGTACAACAGATACACAAAGGAGAAAGAGAAAAGAATCAAACAATCCCTACAGAAAACCACCAAACTACAGTGATAAATAATAAGAGAGGAAGAAAGTAATAAAGGATTTAAAAACAACCAGAAAGCAAGTGACAAAATGACAGGAGTAAATCCTCACCTATCAAAAATAATCTTAAATGTAAACAGATTAAATTCTCTACTTAAAAGATACAGACTGGTTAAGTGAATTAAAAAAAAAAATTTTAAAGACCTGACCATATGCTGCCTACAAGAAAATCACTTCACTTGTAAAGACACACATAGACTGGGCCAGGAGCAGTGGTACATGCCTGTAGTACCAACTAATTGGGAGGCTGAGGCAGGAGGATCACTTGAGCCCAGAAATTTGAGGCTAGCCTGGGCAAAACAGTGAGACCTCCATGTCTTTTTCTAAAAAAAAAAAGATACATATAGACTGAAAATGAAAGGATGGAAAAAGATATTCCACAAAACGTAAAACAAAAATAAATAGGAGTAGCCATACTTACAGTAGATAAAACAGACTTTTAAGTCAAAAACTGTAAAAAGAGACAACGAAAGTCATTATATAATGATAAAGAGATCAATTCAGCAAGAAGATATAACAATTATAAATATATATGAACCCAACAAGGGAGTAGCCAGATATACAAAGCAAATATTATTAGATCTAAAGGGAGAGGTAGACCCTAATACAATAATAGTTGGGGACTTCAACACTAACTTTCAGCACTGCACAGACCATCTAGATCTACCAGATATTTACAGAACATTTCATCCAACAGTTTCCAAATACACATTGTTTTTATCAGCACACGGAACATTCTCCAGATGGACCACATTAGGCCATGAAAGAAGTCTCAACAAATTTAAAAGAACTGAAATCATATCTCATATCAAGTAACTTTTCTGACCACAGTGAAATAAAACTAGAAATCAGTAACAAGTGGAACTTTCAAAATTGTGCAAATACATGGAAATCAAACAACATGCTCTTAAATGGCCAATAAGTCAATGAAGAAATTAAAAAGTAAGTTTAAAAATTTACTGTAACACTGGCCAAGCACAGAGGCTTGCTTCTGTAATCCTATCACTTTGAGAGGCCAAGGCAAGAGGATCCATCAGACCAGGAGTTCAAAATCAGCCTGAGTAACATAGGGAGATCCTGTTTTTACCAAAAAAAAAAAAAAAAAAAAATTAGTTGGGCATGGTGGTGCACGCCTGTAGTCCCAGATACTTGGGAGGCAGAGGCAGAAGGATTCCTTGAGCCTGAGAGTTTGAAGTTGCAGTGAGTTATGATGATGCCACTATACTTTAGTCCAGGCTCAGAGTGAGACCCTGTCTCAAATAAATAAATAAATAAATATTGAAACAAATGAGAACAGAAACACAACATGCCAAAACCTATAGAATACAGCAAAAGCAGTATTCAAAGGAAAGTTTATAGAAATAAACACCTATATCAAAAGAGTAGAAGGATTTCAAATAAACAATCTAACAATGGATCTCAAGGAACTAGAAAAGCAGAAGAAATCAAAGCTAAAATTAATAGAAGGAAATAATGATCAAAGCAAAAATAAAATTTAGGAAAAAATACACAAGATCAACAAAACAGAGGTGGCTTTTTTGAAAAAATAAACAAAATCAACACACCATTAACTAGAGTAACCAAGAAACAAAGAGAAAATACCCAAATAAATTACATCAGAAATGAAAAGGAGATATCACAACTGATCTTTTGTATTTCTTCAGGACAGAAGAAATATTATTTCTTCTGCTTTTCCTCTAAGATCTCAAGGCCCACTTTCACCATTTTTATTCAACATGGTACTTGAAGTCCTAGCCAAAGCAATTAGGCAAGAGAAAGAAACAGCATCTAATTGGAAAAGAGAAAGCCAAATTGTCTGTTATCCATACATTTGGATAACACAGGTTTGAACTGTATGGGTCCACTTCTACATGACTTTTCTCCTGCCTCTGCTGCCCCTGAAGACAGCAAGACTAACCCCTCTTCTTCCTCGTCCTCCTCAGCCTACTGAATATGAGGAGAAGGATGAATACCTTTATGATGATCCCCATCCATTAATGAATCATAAATGTATTTTCTCTTCCTTATAATTTTCTTAACATTCTATGGCTTACTTTATTATAAGAATACAATAAATATGTAACCCATACAGAATATGTATTAATCAACTGTTTATGTTACTGATAAAGGTTTTGGACAACAGTAGGCTATTAGGAGTTAAGTTTTTAGAAAATCAAAAGTTATACATTGATTTTTGACCGCACAGGGCATCAGTGTCCCTAAGCCCTGTGTCATTCAAAGGTTAACTGTAAACAGAAAACTGTAAAAGCTCCACAACAACTCTTAGAATTGATAAACAAATTCAATAAAGTTGCAGGATATAAAATAAACATATAAAAATCAGTAGTACTCTATATATCAACAATGAACTAAGGAAAAAGAAATCAAGAAAGCAATCCCATTTACAAGATCTACAAAAAAAAAAAAAACCTATGAGTAAGTTTAACCAAGGAGGGGAAAGATCTATACAAGGAAAACTACAAAATACTGATGAAAGAAACTGAAAAGGACACAAAAAAATGGAAACACAGCTCATGTTCACAGATTAGAAGAATTAATATCAAAATGACCATACTGCCCAAAGCAATCTATGGATTCAACACAATCCCTATCAAAATCCCAGACATTCTACACAGAAATAGGAAAAAAATCCTAAAATTTGTATAGAATCACAATAGACTCCAAATAACCAAAGCAATCCTACATAAAAAGAACAAATCTGGAGGCATCACACTACCTACCATCAAAATACACTACAAAGCTATAGTAACCTAAACAGCATAAACAGACATATAGAGCAATGGAACAGAATAGAGAACCCAGAAATAAATCCATGTATTTTCAGTCAACTGATTTTCAACAAGGGCACCAAGAACATTCATTGGGGAAGGGAAAGTCTCTTTAATAAATGAAGCTGGGAAAACTGGATATGCATATGCAAAAAAGTGAAACTAGACCCCTATCTCTCACCATATAGAAAAATCAACTCAGAATCAATTAAAGACTTATAAGCCCCACAACTATGAAATTACTAGAAGAAAATACAGGAAATACGCTTTAGGACATGGGTCTGGGCAAAGATTTTATGGAAAAAATCTCAAGAGCACAGGCAAAAAAAGCAAAAAGAGACAAATGAAATTATATCAAACTAAACAGCTTCTGCACTACAAAGGACAATCAACAGTCCTTGATGAAGAGAGATGAAGGGACAATCTGCAGAATGGGAGAAAATATCTGTGAACTATTCATCTCACAGGAGATTAATATCCAGAATATACAAGGAACTCAACAACAAAAAAACAAATAAACTGATTTAAAAATGGGCAAATGAATTGAATAGACATCTCTCAAAAAAGACATACATTTCCAATGGATATGATATATAACAAAATTCTCAACATCACTAAGTATTAGGAAAATGCAGGTCAAAACCACCATGAGATACAATCTCACCCTAGTTAGAATGGCTACTATCAAAAAAAAGAAACATAACAAATGCTGGCTAGGATATGGAGAAAGGGGAACTCTTGTACACTATTAGTGGGAATCTAAATTAGTATGGCCATTATGGAAGATAGAATGCAGATTGCTCAAAAAACTAAAAACTGAACTATAATATGATCCAGCAATCTCACTACTGGGTATTCATCCAAAGGAAAGAAAATCAGCCTATCAAAGAGCTATATGCATCCCTATGTTTACTGCAGCACTATTCACAACAGCCAACATATGGAATCAATCTTAGTGTCTATCGACAAATAAATGGATACAGAAAATGTGGTGTGTATACACAATGGAATACTATTTGGCCATAAAAAAGAATAACGTCCTGTCACTTTTGGCAATATAAATGAGCCTAAAGGACATTATGTTAATGAAAATAAATTATATGTTAGTAAGTCATGTTTTCTCTCATATGTGGGAGCTAAAAAATTGTACTCATAGAAGTAGAGAGAAGAAGAATGGTTACTAAAAGTTGGAAAGGGTGGGGGGGATAGGGAAAAGATGATTAACAAATACAAAATCACAGCTAGATAGGAGTAATAATTTTTACTGTTTTATAGCACAACAAGGTGACTATAGTTGGCAACAATTATATATTTTCAAACAGCTAGAAGAGAGGATTTTGAATGTTCCCAAAACAAAAAATGATAAATATTTGAAATGATGGGTATGCCAATTACCCTGATTTTATCATTACATATTATAGGTGTACATGTATCAAAATATCACATGGTACCTCATACATATGTACAATTATTGTGTCAATTTAAAATAATAAAAGCAAATAATTATATATATACACATATTAAGTCCAATATGGCAGCACAAAGGGAATACTGATAAGCATCAATTTCAATAGGATTTGTGTGAAATAAAGTTAATTTTATAGACTCAAAAATACTGAAATTAGACCCCATCTCATACCATATATAAAATTAACTCAGAACGAATCAAAGACCTAAATGTAGGAACAATATAAAACTCTTAGAGGAAAATATAGGCATAAATCTTCATGACCTCAGGTTAGGCAATCCTTCCGACACCAAAATCAAGAGTAACAAAAGAAAAAAATAAATTCAACTGTACTGAAATTCAAAACTTTTGTGTATCAAAGCATACTATCAAGAAAGTAAAAAGACAACCCACATAATGGGAGTATTTGTAAATCATGTAACTAATAAGAGTCTAGTATCCAGAACACATAAAGGTTTTTATAACTCAACAATAAAAAGACAAATAACACAAAAATAGGCAAAAGATTTAAATAAGCATTTCTCTAAAGAAAATATACAAATGGCCAGTAAGCACATGAAAAGATACTAAATGTCATTAGTCATCAGGGAAATGTAAATCAAAGCCACAATGAGATACCACTTCACATCCACTAAGATGGCAATAACCAAAAAATAAAAACCCAGATAATAACAAGTGCTGACAAGGATGTAGACAAATTGGAATTCTCATGTATTGCTGATGCTAAGATAAAATAGGAAAAAAAGGATATCTACTTTGGAAAACAATGAAGCAGCCTATCACAAAGGTTAAACACAGGGTTATCATATGACCCAACAATTCCACTCATATATATATATACATACATATATATATATACATATATATATATGTATAAACTGAAAACATATGTCCACACAAAAATTCAAAGACAAATGTCCATAGCAACATTATTCATAATACCCACAAAGTATAAACAACCCAAATATCCATCAATTGCTGAATGAATAAAAATGTGGTATGTCTATATAATGGAGTATTATTCAGCCATAAAAAAGCAACGAGATAGTGATGCATGCTACAATGGATGAACCGCTGTAGAAATATTGTAGAAAATATTATGCTAAATGAAAAAAGCCAAACAGAAAAGGCCATACAGTATATGATTTCATTTATATGAAATATCCATAATAGGCAAATCCACAGAGACAGAAAATAGATTAATGGTTGCCAGGGGCTGGGGGTAGAAGAGAGCAGGGAGTGACTACTTAATTGAAAATGTCCTGGAATTAGACAGCAGTGATGGTTATATCACTTTGTGAATATACTAAAAATCATTGAATTATATACTTTAAAAAGGTGAAATTTATGGTATATGAATTATATCACAATAAAAAAATAAATTTAGGCTGGGTGTGGTGGCTCACACCAGTAATCCCAGCACTTTGGGAGGCTGAAGTGGGAGAAATGCTCAATGCCAGGAGTTCAAGATCAGCCTGGGCAACATAGCAAGATGCTGTCTCTACAAAACATTTTAGAAATTAGCCAGGTGTGGTGGCAGGCACCTGCAGTCCCAGCTACTTGGAGGCTGAGATGGGAGGATCATGTGAGCCCAGGAGTTTGAGGCTGCAGTGAGCTCTGATGGCAACACTGAACTCTAGCCTGGGTGATAGAATGACATACCATCTCTTAAAAAGAAAAAACAAAAAACACTCTATATCAACTATTCTTCCCACAACAGCCAGAATGGATTGCTTAAAATATAAGTTTGGCCAGGCACGGTGGCTCATGCCTGTAATCCTAGCGCTCTGGGAGGCCAAGGCGGGTGGATTGCTTGAGGTCAGGAGTTGGAAACCAGCCTGAGCTAGAGTGAGACCCCATCTCTACTATAAATAGAAAGAAATTAATTGGCCAACTAAAAATATATAGAAAAAAATTAGCCGAGCATGGTGGCGCATGCCTGTAGTCCCAGCTACTCGGGAGGCTGAGACAGAAGGATCGCTTGAGCCCAGGAGTTTGAGGTTGCTGTGAGCTAGGCTGACACCACGGCACTCACTCTAGCCTGGGCAACAAAGGAGACTCTGTCTCAAAAAAATAAAATAAAATAAAATAAAATATAAGTTTGATGATTTAATTCCCCTGCTCAGAACTTTTGAGATGGCTTCCCATTTCACTTAGAATAAAGTTCAAAGTCTCTACCTTAGCCTCTGATGCCTTACAGAATCTACTTCTCTGAATTCTCTGCCTATTACTCATCATCTACCTCTGTACCCCCACTGCAGCCACACTGGCCTTCTGGCTTTTGGTTAGTGTGCCAATCACTCTTCAGCCTCAAGTTCTCTATCCTTATTCTCTCTTCCCTCTACCTGGCAACTCTTCCCAAGATAAATGTAAGCCTGGCACCCAAACTTCATTCAAATCTCAACTCAATGTCACTTCCTTAAAAAGGCCTTACCTGGCCACCCTACCCCTTTGTTGGGAAATAGGCTAAGAGACATGAAATTTTTCAGGGGTTTTGCAGGGCTTTGCCTTGAAGGAATCTGTGGACATGTTAGTTCACAGAATAGAAGCTGCTTCCAACAAGGGAGGCATTGTCAGAGGACACTTGCAAAGCAACGTTTCTTCTTTGCTGCCAGCTATGCCTTGAGCTTTTTTGCAAGGCAGAAGCTCGGTTTGGGTCCTTGGTGGAGAAGCTGATTAAAATGACTGCCCAGCAGATAACATGCAACTGGAACTATCCTAGACTTCAAGGCTATTCCTGCTTCACTACTGATTACATGTCTTCTACATGTGTTTAGAAGAAGTAGATTAGAGTAGTAGACAGACTCAGTGCTCTCATTTTATACATTTTATCTTTAATTTATATGCTCAGCTAGGTCTGTTTCTAACTTAGGGCTTAACATGCTTGTCTTAGAAAAATTTTGTAACCATCTATTCTAGTAGACAGAATTAGGTAAGGTTTCCCTGGAAACCTCAAAAAATGGGCTGTACACATAATTCTCTAACAAAAGACAACTATATGCTATAACAATAAATATCGATATAGGATTTCAGTCAGTGCCTCACAGTTCATGGGAATGCTAGAGACGCCCCCTCCAACTCTCCCATCATTTAAACTACACTTTGTCTCTGTCTCAATCATTTCTCCATCTATATTATTTATTTCCTATTATTTCCAAGTCCCTTGTGATGATCCTGCCTTGGGGCCTGTTTTGCTGGAAGAGTAACTAACTCCCGGCACCCTTACCCTATTTTATTTTCCTCATAATATTTATCAAACTCTGACATATTATATACTAAATTTATATAATTATTCATTTATCTTCTGTCTTACTACATTATATATAAGCTCCATAAAAAAAAGCCTTGGTTTTGATCACGGTCCCATTCCTAGAACCTTAAATGGTGCTTGCCAACTAGGAGATTCTCAATATAATCTGGTCAATGAATGACTAAACGAATTTGATAAGACATAAAAGAAGAGAAAGTCATAACTAGGTCCTTGGGGTGTCACCATATTGACAGAAACCTCTCACCTGTTCCAGGTTAGGATACGGCACACGGCAAGAGCTGCAATATCCTTGTCTCCCCTGCATCTCGAATAATCAAAGTCAGATGATTACTGTCCTTGAATACTCAAACTGAAAAAAAATAAAAATGGCCAAATAATGATAATTCCTTACTATCATGAGGAAAATGGCTATGATAATTATCAGAAAACAGAAATTCACTCTTGGGTCCTACCAACTCCTGTTTCTAGTTAGCTATTGAATCGATCGGCGAGTCCAGAGAAAGATGAAAACAATCCATCTTCTGAAAGAACAGTGTGTTGCCAATAAGTGAAGATTAGATAACTAAATTTTTTATCAATTTTCTGAAAACTTATTAGAAATATTAGAAATTGATTCAAAGAGGGAAGGTGGGAAAGGGGTGAGGGATAAAAATCCACCTATCAAGTACAACGTACATTATTCTGGTGACAGGTACACCCGAAAGCCCTGACTCCAGCGTGACACAATTCATCCACATACCCCATAAATTTTTTGAAATTAAAAAAAAGAAACTGATTCAGTAAAAAAATACAGTATTCAATTTGTAAAGACAAATTACTACTGCTAAAATATTACAACAGTATATTTTCTATAACTCTAATGGAGCTCATTAATTTTCCCATTATGTTTCTATACAAAATTCCAGATTATGTGAACTCTGAGTGTCATATATAATATCTAATTCTCTGTCATAAGAGTAAAGATACCACATGGCATCTTCTTCTTAGTTCACAAAGAGGCAGATTTTAAAATAATTTATCCAACAAAGGTGCTAAAAATCAAAATAAGTTAGCCTCTGAAATGAAAGACATTTCTGACAATTACATACACCAAATACATATAAGAAATTGTTTCCCGCCGGTGCTTTGAGATTTCTCTGCAAATAGTTTTCCAGTTTCTACCTATCTAAATTATAATCCTTCAACATAACATACTGCAGTGGTTCCCAAACCAGGCTGATGCCAAAATCATCTCCCAAATTCTGAGTTAATAGAGCTTAGAGCCTAAGATTCAGAATTTTTTAAATTTTCCAGGTAATTTTAATGCCCAGCCAATTTATTAACAGACATGATGTACATATAGTTTATGATTATTTTAAGGAAAAAAATTAATACAATGCAGTGGGTTTTTTTTTTTTGCTGTTTTGTTAAACTGAAAATAGAACTGCAAAAAATAATTGTCAGGTTTCTAACCCTAATTATTGTAAATATTTTTTTCTATTGGAAAACATATAACAGAATCATTCTATAAAATGTTATGAGTATTCCTGAATAAGATTTTTCTGTAATGAAAAAATTTAATCATTAAAATCTATGACTAAAAAATGAAATCACAGCCTTAAAACCAATAAGATGAGAATATAAAAGCTTCACTAAGTCAAAATGTTATCATAACATCACTTACCTATTACTTTTTATTATGAGAACCTTTGATGTTCTGACTTCCCACATTTATGGGGAAAATTAAGCAATTAAAACAGTCTCTGAAATAAAGAATATGTAATATATTACTTAAAATTTGGCCTTTTTGTCCATTAATTTACCTCACTTATTAACCTGAAGCAACAAAAAGAAACAAAGTTTTATTTTTATTTTGCTGCTCCTCATGCCCTGCTCCAGGAAGAAAGAAGCCAAAGCTTTATTTTAAATTGTAATTTATAGATAAAGCAATTTTCAGGCTAAGAACCCTAGAGCTTAAACCTAAACTGAAAATCACAAATTAACAAAATTTTTAGTTATTTACTGAAAATATAATTAAAACATCATTGAATGAAAGACAAAATGAAACTATGAGTCTAAAATCATACACATACAAATTAAATACTTAAAATTTATTTTTTATATCTTTAACCCTTATGGCTTTTAAACCCTGTGGCATTATCACCTGCTATTTCCATCATCTCTAGGGCCACAGTGACAGTGAATTACAATGAACCAGAAGCATGTGCTGGCATTTTTAAAAATTCACTATGCAGTGGCTAACGCCTGTAATCCTAACACTCTGGAAGGCTGAGGTGGGTGGATCGTTTGAGCTGAGGAGTTCAAGATCAGCCTGAGCAAGACTGAGACCCCAGCTCTACTAAAAAAAAAAAAAAACTAGAAAGAAATCAGCTGGACAACTAAAAATACATAGAAAAAATTAGCTGGGCATGGTGGCTCATGCCTGCAGTCCCAGCTACTCAGGAGGCTGAGGCAGAAGGATCGCTTGAGCCCAGGAATTAGAGGTTACTGTGAGCTGGCTGACGCCACGGCACTCTAGCCCCAGCAGCAACAGAGTGAGACTGTCTGGAAAAAAAAAAAAAAATCCACTTTCCAGGACCCTATGCACTTACCAAATTAAAATCTAGGAGCAGAAGGGGGTAGGCACATGCATACTATGCATATTTAAAATGCCCAAGGTAATTCTGACATAAGTTGATACAATGATATCAGTTATCATTTTTTATGAAGCAGTAAAATTCTTTCTTATTAAAAGGATCATTTCTTTAGGGTCTGGGATTATATTACTTTGCATGACTGAATGGCTCTTTTTACACAAACTCTGAATTCTATTAGAGCCTGGTATTTTTATAAAGTAAATTATTTACCTTGAGCAGAAAAGGTCAGGTATTTCATCAGCTATATTAGTCCTGGAAAATATCTGTGAATTAAAATAAAACTATTTTTTTAAAAAGGTAAGTCCCACAAGTGTTTATCATTGACTAAGGTACCCCAAAGTCATATGTAAATTTGAAAAGTGACACAATTATGTTTCCAATAATAGAAGAAAACATAATAACTTTTGAACTCAAAGCACCTTACATACTATGACTCACTGAATCTCACACATTTCCTAAGGTGCTCTGTAGTAGAGTGACTATGGTGGCCCCCCTAGTCTATCTTCAAACACTGAAGGTCTCTGGGTTCTGGGGCAGTAGCTATAAAAGAATGTAAGGCACAACTGTGCCTCTGGTAAGGTTAAGAACGAAAATGTTGTCAAATCCAAAGTAAGCTTCACAAGAAACATTTAAAAAATACACATATATGAAATTAAGTTTGGGTCCTGGACAACCACCCAATTCTCAGGTACCATTTTAGTTTTAATGAAAAATATTGTCAATTCTTTATCATCTCTCTATAGCAATGCACAATTAAGCAAAACAGGGTTTTTTTTATTCCTCTGCATTATTGTGGGCAAACTGTTGCCCCTTATCCAGGATCAATGGTTAACAAACTCCAACATTTGGGCTCAAAATTTTAAGCACCTTCCCTATGCAGAACTCCATGCTAGAAGCTTTAAGGGATAAAGACAAATATGAGACAAGTGTTCTTGCCCTCAAAAATTTTAAAATGAAATTGGGTAATTAATGCAAAAGAATGAGGTGCTGCCTGAGAAATGCCTACGCAAAAATAATAAGCTTTAATGGGTTCGATTGCAAAGTTCAGTTTTAGCTGAAGTGGCCAGAGATGCCACAGTGGTTAGGGTTTTTTAACCAGATACTGGAAAATGGGTAGGATTTGCTTACACAAAGGTATGCCAATTAACAAACAAGCAAAGGTACAAATGCAAGAAAGCGCGAGGTACATTTGGAGATAAGTTAACAAGTTCAGCTGAATCTAATAAGGTTTCATATATGAATTTAAGGGGCAAAAAAACAAGAAAAGAAGATTGAGTTTTGACAAGGTAGGATTCAAAAGCAGACTAAAGAATTTAGACTGTATCTTTAAGCAGTGTGGAATTTCTTTTGTTAATAGGTATACCCAAGGAGTGCTTTAAGAAAATTCTGGAACAATGATTCTCTCCCATTCAAAAGAGCTTTTCAAGGGCAAGGAATGTACTGTTAACTACTCAACACCATTTCCTAGAATACTAGAGAATTAGTTAATACCCAAAATATCTAAATTCAGAGAGTCAGTATCCCTTAAAGCCGAGCCTCATTTATGCTTGTAAAATAGAAAAACACACATTTTAATCTTTTCTTTAGAGATTACTTTTATTAATTTTTATTACAAAAGTAAAATATTATAGCACAATTATAAAAATAAAGAGCATAAAAATCAGCCATAATCCCACCACCTACTATTAACATTTGTCATATATTCTTCTTTGTTCTCAACATGTTTTTACAAAAATGAAATGGTATTGTATATTCTATTCTGTACGCACCTTTTCTCATTTAACCATATACAGTAAGTCCCTTTATATGCCACTATATATATTTCCAAAACCAAATGTTTAATAATTGCAGAGTATTTCATTTAATCGGGGTAAGATAAAAGCCCTCTGACCTGAAAAGAATCAGTAGTTGGTAAATTAACCTTTTAAAGTCAGTCGTCAATAAGATGATTTTTAAAATACTTAGACACATAACTTTAACATTTTATTATTTAACACATATAAATCTATATATGTTTGATTTAAGGGCAAGTTGGGATTTTTTGTTTCATTGGTATTTTGGGTTTTGGGTTCGTTTGTGTGTGTGTGTGTGTGTGTGTGTGTGTGTGTGAACAGGTTAGCTATCTTTCCAAGTCATGTTTTTTCATAAACTACATCATAATTCACCCTCGAGTTTTCCATTTTCATTCCTCTAAAGCAGAATAAGAATCAAAAGACATTTTCAAACCTGAAAGCAGAATTCAGGTTGTCTAAGATTTTTTCCCCAACCTTTTACAGTTGTTACATCCAGTGAAGTACTTTCACTGTAACAAAGCCTTTTTTTTTTTTTAGTCTAAAGCATTCAATTTATTTTTCATAAAAATAATAATGTATTTAAAACGACAGTGTTCACCCTCTTATTTCCCTGGTTTATGTAACATTTAAAACTGCATAAATCCATCTGGGGCAGTGAACGGCTTTCTGAACCACCAAAGATGTCTCAGAAATGAAGTTGCATTTTGTTTTGTTAAGAAATATTTCTTGCAAACCTGAGATGTGTACCAACTACAGAAGTAAACGTCAATAAAAAATATTGCTGAAATGAGTCTGAAGTTGTAGTGTGTTTCTCAAACTGAGTGCGGCACTGTAATAAAAGCTAACAAAATCCAGAATCCTCATGGGAAATATTTTTCAATTGCCTGACTAGAGAGACACAAACTTAATAAAAAAATAAGTAAGAAAGATAACAGTAGGGCATTCGGGTTTTTGAATAGCGCAGTCTACTAAATTATGTCTAGCAGTAGGGAAACAACTGCTAAGCAATCACAAAACAATGGCCAAATGATATAAAAAGACCATCTTTATTCAGTGTCAGTTTCTCTACACAACACTATTAACTAATTTTCTATTTTCCAAATTTTTGGATTATCCTTTCCTCTGGTGACAAGCATTATCCTGTATACCTCCATTCAGTCTTAATAAAATAATAATAGCTAACACTTAGTGGGTACTTAATCTGAGCCAGGCACCCCGTCAACAGCTTCATAATACATTATCTCATCTAAATAACAAATACCTTTATAAAATAGCAGCCAAGATAATTCCCACTTAACAAATCAGGAAAACTGTGGTTTAGAAAGTAGAGGTATCTTGTCACAGGTCTCACACCAATAACTAGCGTAGCTGGGGTTTGATCCTAGCTCAATTTAAGCGGTTATGTTTTAATATCTCTTAAAACGTTCCATAAAACGTTTTCTTTCTATATTTTTAGGAATGCTAATTGATTGTTTTAATATTAGTTGAAAACAAATAATTAGGAATCTAATTTGCCGCAATAAACAGTGTCACTATTTCAGAGAAAAAATAAAACCTACGTTTTACTTTAATTGCATCATTGCTCTCATTCTAAGTGCTGGCGGTACCTTGTATTACTGACTTTCAAAATTATTTAGCACTACACACAGAAAGCAAAATATTTTATATTACAACCCAGCACACTCACACAGGCACACAGGCACAGTTAAAACATGTTTCACAAAACAGGACTCTCGCTACATGTAATGCATTCTAGTATTTTCTATGCTATCTTATTCCATTTTTTAAAAAATGCTTGTCATTACTCACTAAATTAATTTCACAACTCACTAACGGATGGAAAACTGCAGATTGAAGAAATAACGCCTTCAAATTTTTAAGCACAGTAAACAATATTCTACAAAAATCGATTATTATCCCTGAATTAAGCTTACTTCTATCCAAATCACCAACCACTGCAGTAATACTTTATCAAATCTCTAACGAGGTGCTTTCTTGCCTTCTGTGCTTTGGGTTCAAATGATATAGAAAAAGTCTTCGATGTATTAAATGCAAAAAGGTCAAATAAATACGCCTTATGTAACACACGTATATATGTTTATATATTCATCACCCCGAATTGTTAATAATTTCTCTTGAGGATAAGACTCCTACAGGCTTTCTCCGTTCCCCCAATCCCCCAGCATATAATTGCTGTTTAAAAGAAAGAAAGAAAGATAACTTCCATTTTGAGGAATAAAAAACGTTTTAGTCCCTTGAGCACCAGTATCTTGTTATGCATTTCTTCCACGAACTACCAACAATCATCGCGTCGGATCATCGCAGGAGCTGGAAAAGGGCCTTTTTAGAAGTAAAAACGATGGCGTAGTATGACCAGACTTACACAACTGTTGCACGACGATAGTAAAATTATCATTAACACAAAAATCAAACGTTTCCAAAATAAACTCTACTCGCCAGAGACTGGTAAAGGCCTAAATCTGGGGACATTTGGACACAACGCAGGGCACTGGGGGAAGGGGGTGTGTGGACAGGTGGCTCGGACCTCGGCCCCACAGGTTGCCCAGACAAGTCTCCGCAGGGACGCAGCCCTAAATCCGACCTCGCACGCCGCCCCCTCCCCGGGCCCGGGCCCCAGGCCTCGTCCGCGGGCCCCTCAGACCGCGGGCCCCTCCGACCACGCGCCCTCCGACCCCTGGCCCCAGAAAGAAGCGCAATGCAGCCTGCGCCCACCTCCTTCCCGCGCCCCAGCCACCTCGAAGCCTGCCCGGAGACGCCGATCCGGCTCACGCAGCAGGGGCAGAAAAGGGACTAGGGGCGAGGGGAAGCCGAGGACCTGCGAAGCGGCGCCGCAGCCGCGCGAGCGACCAGCGGCTCTGCAGAGGAAGAAGGCGCCCGGGGCGCCAGGCGAGCAGGCCCCGCCCGCGGGCGTCGCCCCGGTCCGCGCCGCCCCGCCCCGCCCCGGCCGCGGCACTCACCTCCGCGGAGGCCGCCTGGATTCCTTCCGGGCCGCCGTGGAGACCGAGGACCAGGCTAGGTGCTCGCCCTTCTGATTCCCGGTCCGTAGCGGCGCCTGGACCCCCGGCCGTCCGGAGAGCCGCCGCCCGCAGCCCAGGGAGCCAGCGATGAGAGCCGCCGGCCCCTCCGGCCTGGAGGGGAGCGCGGAGCGGGAGCGCGTCTTGCAGGACGCGGGCTCCCAGTGGCGACTGGACTCACGCTAGCATCCAAGGCAACGTGGCGTTGCAGCCCCGATGGAGGTTTGACGTCAGGGAAGGTGCGAAAACCGGGCCCCTTCTGACGCAGGAGCAGTGGGACCGCCCCCCGCCCGCCCACCCACTCACTCGCCCCGGCGGAGGAGCCCCTTTCCTCCCCGCCAGGATCTCTTAAAGTGGACACTGCCTCCCTGGTCAGGGCCCCTCTCCGGAGCTTATGAAATCAATGCTGTTCCAACCACAACGACTAGGCTCATAGCGCGGTTAGGATGCGAGATAAAGACCAAGGTTTTAGCATTTGAGGCCCAAATGAAAATCGCTTGCCAATTCAAAGCAGCATCTGAATGGAGAAAAGAAAATGGGGCTAAGAAGGCTGGCAGTCTGCGCTGTTCCCATGTGTTGCACAGTGAGGTGCATCTCACAAAAGCTCCTGTTGAATGAGCGCTTACTCTGTTGTACGCACTGTTTAAGGTTTATATATACATTCTTGCATTTCTCTTCTGAGTAACTCTACGATGAATCCTATTATTATCCCTCTTTGGCAAATGAGAAAACGGAGGCTTAAAGAAGTTAGGTATTCAAAGACCTACACTACACATTAAAGTGTTCTGAATATTAACAACCATTTGGTCATCCAATTGTATTTTCTTGCTATCCACTACGGATGTATGAGCAAAAACAGTTTAAGTGTAATGGGGACAAAAAACCTAAATCACGCTACTGAATATATAATCTTTGATAAGAAAAATAGTCATATTTAAAATGCAGAGGGCCCTGCTGGAGAGCTTATATCTAGTGTAAAAATAATCTTAGAATGAGCTACTTTGTTCTTTGGCTGTTGATGTAATTATCGTTTCCCGTTTTTAATGAGCTTGCGATGTTTTCCCCTTTTTTCTTTTTATTAACTTGTCCGTTGCTTTTGCTTCCATTGTTTCCATTCTTTGTGTATTTCTCAGTTCTTGCCTCCCCCACTACATCTTTCTTTCACTTTAAACCTGGGCTGTTTCAACCGTTTGACTCCTTTAGATTTAACACACCAAAACGTACTGATTTCTTTTAACGCAAGCTCTTTCCACATCCCAACCTTGGAATTAGTGAAAGAAAATTCATTTTACATTAAGCCAGCCACCATGATATTATGTATTTCACATGTACTAAGACACTTTAACATCTCTGAAATTAGGATGCATATTACAAACTCTGATCTCTTAAACGTTGACCAGGCAGCAGTACAGACATAGTTGTCATTGCCTCCACATACTAAAACTTGGATATTGCTGTGTGGATTGTTCTCATTTCAACTGAATTTTAAGTGCATTGTTTAATAAAACCCACAACCCTAAGAGAAAATGAATTAACAGACATAGGAGTCTCTCAAAATTGAAGAGATTTACCTGCAGAAAGAAGATTTTCCTGGAGAAGATTATTTTCCGAGGATCAAAAAGAGATTCCTCAGCATTTAGAAAGAGAGAAATAGGACTGGCTAAGAGCTATTAGACTTCTGAGAGCCCTAAGTTGCTCACCAAGTACATTAGTTCTTAATGCATCTTGGGAACCTGTATCGAACAGTTAAACAATAAGCCTAATCACCCCTTTAAAAAAAATTAACGTAGGTATTATTCCTGATAGCCTGATTAGTCAATTACAATCGCCTGTAGGTTTCAGTCCAAAACACCACCAAGAAGGAAACAAGTCTGGATGTTACCTGAAAAACTGCAATTGACATCTTCAGTCTAGATCAAGAACATGCCAATATTGGCCGGACTCGGTAGTAGCACGGACCTCTAGCCCGGTAGTAGCACGGCACTCTAGTTGCGGCAACAGGAGTGAGACTCTGACTCAAAAAAAAAAAAAAAAAAAAAAAAGAAAAAAAAAAAAAAAAAGAACATGCCAGCATCAAACTTACAGAATAAGGTCAGCTACTTGGAAGAAAATCCTGGATTCAATAGTGGAGCAATCTTAAGATGTGCTGCATCACTAACATTTTTGTGACACAGAAGACAATACAGAAAACCATAGCCTTCAACCACTGATATAAAAGTGGTTCACTTCCCTGTTCCAGGTGGATGACCAAAAAAAAAAAAAAGAAAAGAAAAACGTGATTCACAAAAGTTGAGCTTGGAATGTGAAGAAGTTTCTGGAATACTTTAACCAATTTTACTTATATCCCCCCACCCCGTTGTGGGCTTTATTTATTATTTATTTTTTTGATACATATAGTCTCATCTGTCACCCTTGGTAGAGTGTAGTGGCGTCATCCATCGTAACTCACTGCAGCCTCAATTTGGGCTCAAGTAATCCTCCTGCTTCAGCCTCCCGAATAGCTAGTACTACAGGCATGAGCCACAACGCCCGGCTAATTTTTCCATGTTTTTTTTTTTTTTTTTTTTTGTGTAGAGACAGGTCTCGCTCTGGTCTTGGTCAGGCTGGTCTCAAACTCCTGAGCTCAAGCGCATCAGCCTCCCAGAGTCCTAGAATTACAGGCTGAGTGACCTGCCCGATCATATTTCCTTTTTATGCATGTACAAGATTGCTACATAATAAATAATCTGTCTCAAAGCCTAAGAGAGTCTCTTTATTAACTATGAATAAAATGCTAAGTTACAAGAAACTCATTGTTACAGTTTAGTTGGCAGAATTTTTCTTCCAACATGATGCTATCACAAAACATTAAGGAAATCCATCTTGCATCAGATTACAGTCCATCCAGACCAGATTCTGTCTAGTGCAATGGGTACATTTTGTGGGACAGCTTAATTATCTATAAGGTTAAGCTCAAATGTTACAATTTCCCCCTAATCCTTTATTAACCCATTACAGATATAAACACATTTACTCAGCAAATACTTATTTATAAGACCTAGGGATCAAGATTGGGCTTGTATGCACCCTATTCCTTCCTAATGTAGTTGGTCTAAGGTGAAAAAAGGCTCCTACTTACGTGTTATTTCACAATCTTCCTTCTTTAAAGAAAAATAAAAGCTGCTCTTTTATGTCTAGAAATCATTCAATAATGCCTATATTTGTAAGCGTTTTAAATTGACATTTGGCAATGTCTTAAGAAAAAGCTATAGGGAAAACCCAGATCTAATTGCTGAGTCATAAAGAATTCAGATTCCATCAACTTAAGAGTTTGGTTATTTCCCCCAAATTCTATTACTCTGTACCTCATTTTGCCTATTCACAGTCAAGTGAGGTCATTATGAAGTTTCTACTCATTAGCATTTCACCTCTTTAAAGAATACAGTGTCATCTCAAGCATAAAGGGATTCAATATATTAAATATAATTAAATATTAACACAAATGATCCCAAAAATCTTCATTTTGTCTTCCTGATTACTCCATATAAGATAATCAAAACTTTCTTCACAAGGTAGAGGAAAGATGGTAGCGTAATGTCATTGGAACAAAAAGTTAATGGAAAAAATACAATTTAAGTATATGTATGGCTCGAGGTGGCTCACAACCTGTACTCATGGATTCTAGGAGGCCAATGGGAGATCGCTTGAGCTCCAGGATTCCAGGTCAGCCTGAGCAAGAGCAAGACCTCATCTCCACAAAAAACTAAAAATTAAGCCAGGCGTTGTGCAACATGCTGTGTAGTCCCAGCTACTCAGGATGCTGAGGATTGCTGTCGAACCAGAGTTTGAGGTTGCAGTGAGCTACAATGACACGACTGTACTCTATCCAGGGCACAGAGTGAGACTGCTCTAAAATAAGTAAATAAATAACTATATGGCTTAAAGTTGCAAAGGTATGCTGCGGATATGGAGAATGGCAGTATAACTAAGTGAGGAGGAGAGTGCAGGGGAGATTGTGCAAATGAATTAAACTCCATCTATCATATAGAAATTTAATATGTAACATCTATAAAATTAGCAAATCGCTAAATAGCAATGTAAGTCTTTTTAAAAATATAAACATAAGATGATCCACCAGAACTAAGGACAAGATATAGTTTTTCAAATAGTTGCTACTGCTTATCAGGAGTAGATAACATAGAGCACCCTCTTGCATCATTCGCGTGTCTATTTGTCTTACTATACCTACAAGACAACCCCAGGGTATACATTTCTAGAACAAATGGTGCAGTGGCAAGAATAGGTGGACACCATATGGTGATGGTGAGTCCTTAGACTGCTCTGGGCTTAATAACTGGCCCCAGCAGACAGCGGTCACTGCCAGAGATGGCACCACGGGTGCTGGCAATTTACTGCTTCATGGCTACCACTTCTTGGCTACTGCGTGTACTGTTTTTTGTCAGCATTACCATGATTTCCTAGGAGCTGGAAAAGCGGAGTCCCCCCAAGCTGCCCTGTAGAGCGCACGAAGAGTGCCAAGCTGTGGAGATTGCTGTATATGTATAGACACCATGTCAGTGCCAGCGGCAGTGGGCAAAGGAGTAGCAGGAGCGAGGGACTACAATTGTAGTATCACAGTAACATTTTCCCACCATCAATTTAAAATTACACACAGTGAGATTTTATCGTCTCTGTTATAGTCTCCCCATCTATTCTTCCTTCAATCTAGTCTTTTCTACTTTACATTTTGTGGATATGGCTGTAATACACCTTCACACAAAACATAGCTGGGGTGTTTGTTCCAATAATTCTTTACAATTTTAACATATTCTATTCCTTCCTCTTTTTTTTCTTCTTTTCTTCCTC